CAGCATTCAAAATTGATTGATCGCCAATGTCCTGAAACTGTACTGCGCCGCTCCAGGTTAGGCGCCATCGTGTAAGCCTTGATCCCCACAGTTTCCAGAGCTAACGGCACGTCTTAGTTGCTGCAAGGCTCTGGACGCCTGGTTTGCTGTCTCTCGGCACTGGAGTCCAGGCTTGAAGTTCGCACTAACAAGGACACCCAGGTCTTTGGCTATGGTTATTGTGGGTATCTGTTGGGACTGGTCCGGGGTCCCGGTGTCTTTCCACCTTGCGTGCCCCCAGTTCTGACTAGCTGCTGACACTTCAGTGTATTCAGAGGGAGATACCATCTAACTGACCACGCGTATATTTTTTCAAGATCTCTCTGAACTGATTCTGTCGTGGACTCCCAGACGATTTTTACATCGTCTACAAACTTGTAGCAGTGGTTTTCTAGGTTGGTGCTGAGGTCGTTGATGTAGAGCAGAAAAAGCAGCGGACCTAGGACAGAGACCTGTGACACTCCACGAAGCACTGCTCCCTGGCTTGATGTGCTATTTTCTACCCTCACAACAAACCTCCGGCCTGTCAAGCAACTGCGTATCCATTCTAGCAGTCCCGGAGGCAGCCAGAAAGCCTTCAACTTTGTCCTCAGGTCAGGTCACAGGACTTGTGGCTGGAGCCAATATGTGTCCAGGTTCTTGCACCCCGAGCTCCGTGTTCTCGTGATGCTTCGACTGCCAAGTGATTCACGGGTTCGAGGCTGTTGCCCAAATGTCTCGGGTCCTTGAAATGTATCTTTTTTCTTTTGGATCGAATTTCTTCTAGAACAGGGAGTACTGAAAAGGCATTAGTAGGGTTCCCCGCTCGAAGCGAGAAATAAAATGAAGACTTGCGAACTCTCATATAATTCCAAATGTTTTTTTCTTTTATTAGGGGAGAGTAGATAAACCTAAGTGGCGGTCAAGACGAAGTTTGAAGACCGCCTTGCTGAGGACGCTGACTATCTCTTCTGGAAGGGCATTCCATAAGGATATCACCTTGAGGTCTTGAAGTATTTCACGGGTTCCAGGCTAAGCCCAATGGTCCCGGTAAGTCAGTTCAGTTCAGTTAAGTTTGCACAGGATGGAAGTGGTCGAGACCAATCGTTGTGTTGTCAGCTAGTTTCCTCGGCTTCCAACACCGCCCGTCAAAAGTTCGTTCTGCTTTTTCTGAAAGGCAAAATATTTAGGTGCAGTATCTCATCCACCAGATATGTAAAAATGAAATACATCAATATAGGAACTACTCAACTTTTTCCTTTTTTGTCCCTCAAGTGGCCAGCTCCGGGAAAACCACATTCCAGCACAGATCCAAGGCCTTTTGAAGGCTACAACTGTTGAGCCGTTTATGAAATGCTATGGCAATCTATTCCATAACGGCACCACCCGGTTTGTGAAGAACCTGGCCCTCAAATCCAACCTGGAGTGTTAGCTTTGCAGTCAGACAATCAGTCAGTTTGCACAGGACAGGAGATGGCCACGGCCAAAAGAGCGTCTAGAGTTTCTTTGGTAGTAAGCCACGTGTTGGCCCCTACCACTGCGAGTGTTCTATATTGTCTTTATGCGCGTTTTCTTCTCATCCCAATCGTCTACACCTCTGCAAGGGAAGAGAAAGGAAAAGGAACGCCTTCTCCCCTTGTTCAGGCGAGAGACCTCACATTTAGGATCGCTCCCCTATTTATGGTGGTTAGTAAATGAGAAAACCTCTAACTTCTACTAGGCCCTAAACTGTACGTCTACTTCAGGAAATAAGTTCAACTAGCACTTATCAAGCTCCTTCTTGAAAGCATGTACGCTCCCTAGCTCCACGAGCTCTCGTGATAATTTATTCCATGAGTTGACTACCCTGTTGCTGAAGAAGTTTAAACTCACCGCTAATCTCGTGCGCACTTTCTTCAGTCTGTGCATGTGCCCCCTAGTATTGCTTTCCCTTCTCCCTAAGAACACTGCCTGATCCGTCCCTGATAGGTCATTTATTATTTTGAATGTCTCTATCAAGTCACCTCTGAGTCTTTTTCTCTCCGAAGAGAAGAACCCAAGGTTCTGCAGTCTCTGCTTATACGACTTCCCTCGCTGTCCTTCGATCATCCTCGTGGCTAATCATTGGACCCCCTCAAGACAAGCGGCGTCCTTTTTGAAGAAGGAAGCACAGACATGTATACAATACTTCAAATGCGGTCGAACAATGGCCTTGTATAGAGGTAAGAATACCTCCAGTTGTCAGTACCAACCCCAATCTAAAAAGCTCTCGACGGACACGGTGAGCCGCTGCGGCACACTGTCTGTTGTCACAATGATTCCTAAATCTCTAGCTTTTTTGGTCCTTCCTAATGAAAGACCGCCATGACTGCTCCCCACTATCAGCCCCTCCTCTCCAGTGGTCAAGACATGACACTTTCTTAATGTGAGAGGCAGATCCCATGTGCCTGACCACTTGAGCACTTCACATATATCCCTCCTTAATTCCTCTCTCCAATTTGCTCCTACCACCTTGAAGTCATCCATGAATATATAGCTAGGCGAGCCATGGCGTTCAGGCAGATCATTGGTGTAGAGCAAGAATAGGAGTGGACCTAGAACTGATCCCTAGGGAACAACACTAGCAATATTTTCCACTGGCGAGTTCGCTCCTCCGATCCGAACCACGAAGGTCCTATCGGCCAGGAAAGCTGTTAGCCACTTGTGGATGTTACTACTTATCCATAGAGCATTTATCTTGGCCAAAAGTAGGCGATGACATACTGAGTCAAATGCTTTTCTTAAGTCCAGATAGCGTACTTCCACTGGCTCACCCTCGTCTAATATCGCTGTGACATCATCTGAAAGTGTAGGAGATTGCTCAGACAAAATTTTCCCTTCAGAAACCCAGGTTCAGTTCAATTCAGTTGGTATCCAGGACCATGACGCCAATTGCCAGAGCGTTGAGTCTCTTGCACTGGTGGGCTTCTTCTATCCCCCGTTGAGGTGACAATAGGAGAAATAAAATTCCTCTTGTGTTAGAATAGGGTAAGCAGACTCGGTTGTCCCGACCTAGAGACACTTGTAGTGGCTGACTGGGGGCCGCCATCTTGATTGTTTAACTAACCACTATCATTTGATTATTTGATTTGTATTTGTATTTGTATTTGTAACTTTTGTAAGCATATATGCTTACATTTCAGTCAAAATGTACATTGTTCGTCGCGCAGAACGAAATAAAAATAATCAAAACAAAAGGTGAACGAGGTCGGCGATATACGTATCATGTACAAAGCATTTGACGTAGTTCATTTGAGACCTGTTCCTTTTTGGTGAGTAGTCGGGCCAGGTAGGGTACAGGGGAATTTTTATAAATGTTAATGCGAGAGGGTAGCTGTCGAAATGAGGAGCGTGTGGACGGATAGGAACAACAAGACGATAGATCAGGGTGTAGTGGATGAAGAGGGTCGTCTAGAATCTTGTAAGCAAATTTAAAACAAGAGTTGATGTGACTATTAATGAGATCTGTGATTAATAAATCAATTGGGATTAGTGATGCACGACTGACTATCACCAAACCGCGGCGAATTGTTTTGAAGTCGTGTTTTAAAAGACCGGGAAACACTACAGGAGAGCAGTAAAGTAGAATGGGTAAAACACATTGCTGAACGAAAGTTGATAGGACTGATTGTGGGGTTCGGAATTGCCTGATCATGCCTATACATGCCTCACGGGGCTGCGTGAAATATACACTTATTACTATTATTACTATTACCCCCTTTTCTTTGCACAGACCATGCAGGCGGAGAGAATCACCTCAAGGTTGAGGAGCTGAATAGACCAATGAGGACCGCCCGAACCACCTATGAAAGACCCAAAGATCTCTGATTGGCTGCTGTGTCTTCCCCAGAACTTTTCCCTATATATACCCATGTACAGTTTTATAATACACACGTGTTTCCAGTAAAACAGACGTTTTTCCAATCCTCTGTTTTCCTCTGAGTGCTGTGGTATCGTGAGGCGTTTATTAATCGATCAGTGCCGTTCCTCGTTGCAGCTAGTCGCATGTTACAAGTTGGGCACCCACGGCGGGACCGAAAAAGAATAATACCCTACACAAACATGTCAGAATTTTCCAGTTCGGCAAAAGAATTCCCCCCATTGTTCGGTCCGTTCGCAGAAGTGGAGGCGAAGATGGAGACTACGTCGCCTCATGAATGGATCCCACCGCTCATGGCCCCGGAGCAATTCGTACCTGGAGATTTCGACGTTTGGGAATCGCAAGTATGGCGCTATGTTTGCAGCCTTTCGTCATCATATCGGGTATATGTGGTGATTAATCTTCTGACGAGAGAGGCTTATAAGTCAGTAATGGACTTCGACCTCCCGGACGATGTGGATAGCCTTCTGGTGACCCTGAGGTGGAGACTGACAGGACCGAAAACGGCATTTGAATATCGGGAGGAGTTTCACATGCTACAGAAACGACCTGAGAAAAGTCTGATGAACTATATGGGGTCCGTGCGGCGTCTTGCTCAGTAGACGTATTCCATGTATACAGCGGAGGAACGCAATTTACATATTCTAGATCGGTTTCTGGCTGGGCTCTGGGAAACCCAGAGCCAAAGATGAACGACAATTACGGCCACCAAAAGACCTTGCTGCCGCAGAGTCAATTGCCGAGATCCTGGACCGTAACGGGCTTCAGGTAAGGCGACCTCAAGGTGTTTTCGCTGCAGGCTTTGGACAGGAAGGGAGAGCACCAACCAGAAAAAATGGTGAAAGGAAACCTCCAATGGTACCCACATGCTACACCTGTTGCCAAACGGGGCATACCTCGCGATTTTGTGGGATGCGAGGAGGACCGAGTAAGTCCATACCAAAGTTGTTAATGCAAATAATTTCACTGTCATGAGTATAGACGCGGGATTACTCTTTGTTGCGGTAAAGGTGAAAGACAAAACAGTTAATTACTTGTTAGATTCCGGGTCGGTCAGCAGTTTGATAAGTAACAAGGAGACTGTTTGGAAGTCCAAGGCCAACAACTCGAAGGAGACTCCCTTGGTCGGAGCAAATGGTTCACCGCTAACTGTACACGGGACGGTGGATTTGACGTTGTGAGTAGGCAAACAGAAAGTTAATCACCAATTCACGGTTGTAGAGAACCTCCCGGTTGCTATCGTGTTGGGGGCCGACTTTCTACGAAGGACCGAGAGTATCATTAATCTGGGTACACAGCGGGTCTCAATAGGCGGTTCCTGGGTGAACTTTAAGATGGAACAGAAGGGTATGAGTTCGCACATAAACGTGCAAGCAGAGTCTCCAAAGGCTGCGAAGTTGGAAAATCTGATAGCATCCTCTTCTAAAGGAGGTTCCGGAGAATCCCAAACTTAGTTCCGGCAACTAGTGCAAGAATAACACTCAGTCTTTGCATGGGAAGGGGAACCGCTCGGTAGAACCAAGCTGGTTCACCACAACATAGACACAGGAGACACAAGCCCAATCCGGCAGGCATCACGACGCGTGCTTACTGACCGGTAAACAGAGTTGAATAACCTAATAGAAGAGATGCTCCAGCAAAACATTATAAGACCGTCTAAATCCCCTTGGGTTACGCCAGTGATCCCGGTTAAGAAGAAGGACGGGTCGTTACGCATGTGCATGGACTATAGGAAGCTAAATGCAGTCACACGTAAGGACTCGTTTCCAGTGCCTCGCATTGATGATACGCTGGACGCACTGTCAGGTTCTAAATGGTTTTCTACTTTGGATCTTGCATCGGGGTATTGGCAGGTCGAGGTGGACGCCAGAAATCAAGAAAAGACGACTGCTTTTGCGATCCCTACTGGTCTATACGAGTTTAATACCATGCCTTTCGGATTAACAAACGCACCCGCGACGTTTCAAAGACTAATGTAGATAGTCTTAAGTGGTTTATCATCAGGGGAATGTGTATTTTACTTAGATGATA